TCCCTCCCCCAATACACACACACACACTTGATTCTTCACAGGCTGCAACCTTGTAATCTGTTGTTGTTGTTGTTGTTGTCGGAAGGTTTCAAGTAATAGGTAATGATTCTCCCTCCTATTGTGGCCGCATGGCTAGCAATGATTCAGGGTTCATTTATGGTCTTGGGGCTTTTCCATTGACAGCAGTCTAAACCTGCTGGATAAAAGTGTGCTACCCGTCCACTGGTTTGAGAGCCACCTCTCTTGTCATTTGACCTCAGAAAGAATCCCTCTTCAAAATGATTCAGAAAGAAGCTCTGGGTGAGGAGTTAGGGACCGCAGGCTATAGCACTGTGTGTAGCTCATACTATCGAAGAAGAAGAAGAGGAGGAGGAGGAGGAGCAGGAGGAGCAGGAGCAGCAGGAGGAGGAGATTGGATTTATACCCCGCCCTTCACTACCCAAAGGTGTCTCAGAGCGGCCTACAAACTCCTTTTCCCTTCCCCTCCCCACAACAGACACTCTGTGAGGTAGGTGGGGCTGAGAGAGCTCTTGACAGAAACTGCTTTTTCCCCAAGAACAGCTCTTATCAGAACTACGGCTTGCCCAAGGTCATCCAGCAGGTGCAAGTGGAGGAGCGGGGAATCAAACCCGGTTCTCCCAGATTAGAGTCCGCGCACTTAACCACTACACCAAATTACACCAAACTGGCTCTCTGTGTAATTTTTGCATCATTTAATGTGTCGTTTGATGTGTCATTTAATTTAATTTAATTTAATTTAATGGTCATATTTAATGTGTCATTGCTTCAGCATTGTTTCTTGATTCCTGGTTGGTTCCAGATTTCTACAAGTCAAATCGTATTGCATTGTCTACTGGATGTCCCTCCCTGTTGATTGTACAGTATTGACTTGTGTTGATTGTATTGTACTAAATTATTCTGTGTAATCTGCCTTGATCAATGATTTGGAGTTGGGAGTTAGCAATGAGGTGGCTAAGTTTGTGGATGACACTAAGTGGTTCAGGGTGGCCAGTGTTCCCTCTAAGTCGAGTTAGTCTGAGCTAGCTCACAGTTTTTGAGCCTCCGGCTCACACATTTTTGTCTTAGCTCAGGAAGGAGGGCTCCAGAGCAAACTAATTGATGCAGTAGCCAAATCGCTCGCACACAACTTTAATGCCAGGAGCTCACAAAGTAGAATTTTTGCTCCCAAGTCCCCACAGCTTAGAGGGAACACTAGTGAGAACCAGGGAGGACTCTGAGGTGCTCTAGAGGGATCTGTCGAGGCTGGGCAAGTGGGTGACAATGTGGCAAATGAGGTTCAACACGGGCAAGTGCAAAGTAATGCACACTGGAGCCAAAATCCCTAACTGTAAATATACATTGATGGGGTCCAAACTGGGGGTAACCGACCAGGAGAGAGATCTTGGAGTCGTGGTAGATAACTCACTGAAAATGTCAACTCAGTGTGCGACTGCAATTTAAAAAGGCAAATGCTATGCTGGGGGCTATTAGGAAGGAGACTGAAAACAAATCAACCAGTTCTCATAATGCCCCTGGATAAATCTATGGAGCGGCCTCATTTGGAATACTGTGTCCAGTCCTGGCAACCGTACCTCAAAAAAGATAACATTGGAAAAGGTGCAGAAAAAGGGCAACTAAAATGATGAAGGGGCTGGAACACCTTCCCTATGAAGAAAGGTTAAAGAAGGGCTCTTAACTTGGAGAAACGACGATTGAGGGATGATATGACAGAGGTTTACAAATTATGCAGGGGATAAAGTAGAGAAAGAAGTACTTTTCTACCTTTCTCTCAATACAAGAATGAAAATAATGAGCAGCAGACTTAGAACAGATTAAAGGAAGTACTTCTTTACCCAAAGGGTAATTAACATGTGGAATTCACTGTTGCAAGAAGTGGTGGCGACTACAGGCATAGACAGCTTCAGGAGGGGATTGGATAAACATATGGAGCAGAGGTCCATCAGTGGCTCTTAGCCACAAGGTATAGATGGAACACTATCTGGGGCAGTGATGCTCTGTATCCTTGGTGCTTGGGGGGCAACAGTGGGAGGGCTTCTGGAGTTTTGGCCCTGCTGGTGGACTTCCTGATGGCACTTGGAGTTTGGCCATTGTGTGACACAGAGTGTTGGACTGGATGGGCCATTGGCCTGATCCAACATGGCCAGATCAGGACTCTCTGGTGGTTTGGAGATGGGATTTAGAGATTAGAGTCCGCACACTTAACCACACCACCAAAGGTTAGAGGCAATGAGAGAGAATTCTTGGGTTTGCACGCTCCTGCCTTCTCTAGGTCGGGGGCCGGGGCACTGCTGGTGGCCCCTTGCCCGAGCACCCCAAAAGCCCCGAAGCAGACAAGGAGGTTCTGCTGCCAATTTAACATCAACCATATTGGTCCTTTCCAAATTGCACAGAAAATGGAGGGGTTGGAAAGAGAGCAGGAAACTTTTATTCCACTGTTTATTTCACATCCGACCCAACAGCCTGCAGCAGTCAGTGTTGGCTGAGTTATTGCCGTGCTAGCTGGGTCACCATGTCGAAGAACTGGATGCATCTTCCCCTGAAATTCGAACCCAAAGCAACCATCGCTGCCCTTCTGCTGGGATTCACAAGGCAGCTGATTTACTGAAGGGCTCTTTTCCCCTTAAATGTTTTGGAAAATCTGTGCACAGATCTGGTGGAAAACAACCTTTGGGAAAGGCAGAGCACCTTTTGTTTGTTCAATTAAAAATATCCTGGAGTCCCTGCCAATCAATACATACAGAACTGCAATAGCTTTTCTCCCCCTAAATAGCAAGAAGGGGGAAAGGAGGAAGGATACAGAGCTTGATTTATGTTTCCACATTCAGGCAGAAGTAGAAATACGGTTACCTGCTGCATTCGAGACCAGCAACTGCCGACATCTGTAGGTCCCTAGGGTCACTCTACTTTCCAAACGACAGCCAGGGGAAAGAGCTGGGGGGATATTTCACCACACAAACGGAGCCTCTGGCTGTGTAGGCTAGTTTACTGGATGACCTCGGGCCAGTTACTCTCGCTCGGACAACTATACAGGATAGTTATTTTATGGGAGGGGTTACATATGCCACCCTGAGTTTCTTGGAGGGTGGGGTTAAAAATCGAAGAAATATGTTTCTGAGTAAGGACTTCTAAAGAATGACACGCCTTTGAGCATCAACTCTGCACGCAAGTGCCCATATGCTTACGTGCTGCATACACAGCACACAAAACAGAAGGCCTGGTAACGGCCACATACAGAGTATTTCCCCCATTTTACATCACAAGAACCCCTTGCTTTTCCTTGGAGGAGACGCAGATTTCCCCAATTCCTTGGCAGCTGGAAATTGCAGCAGTCAGGATGAGAACACCCACAGCTGCAAGAGGGCCAAAGTACAACCCCCCACTTCCAAACCCAAAAAGCCCGGGAGGCTGATCCTGTCTGTGACTGTCCTGTGTACAGAGGGAGGTGGTTGGTTAGCTCCCCTTCACTGGCAGCATTCACGAAGAGGCTGGAGGAATATTTGTCAGAGATGCTTTAGGCTGGTCCTGCATTGGGCAGGGGGTTGGACTAGATGGCCTGTATGGCCCCTTCCAACTCTGTGATTCTACGTAGTCACGGGTGTGTGTGTGAGAGAGGAGTGCACACCCTTTGAGGCCTGGACCTGCCGACTGAGGGCAACTTTCCTGCCTTTCCATCCCGCAGCAGTGCAAAATGCCCCTTTAAAACCCTGTTTCCGGGTGGGGAGGGAGAGAAGGGATCCTCAGGAACAGGATGAGTGGGTGGAGGTGAAAGTCCAGGCTGTCCCAGGAGAGGCAGGGAAATTGCACTCCATGGACAGAAATCCTTGCAATTTCGGAAATGTCTGCTTTGGATCCAACCCAACGGGAGGGAACGGGTGCGATCACCAAAGTGGTTTGTAGTCGGTTTCTGGATAATCAGAAGCTGCCGTGGCTCAATGTCAGAGCGGCTGTGCTCGGTGCGCAGGAGGTCCCAGGTTCAATCCCTGTCACCTCCCATATCAAGGGTCAGGTAGAGAAAGAAGTACTTTTCTCCCTTTCTCATAATACAAGAACTTGTGGGCACTCAATGACACTGCTGAACAGTCAGGTTAGCATGGATAAAAGGAAGTCCTTCTTCACCCAAAGAGTGATTAATACATGGGATTCACTGCCACAGGAGGTGGAGGTGGCTACAAGCATGGACAGCTTCAAGAGGGAATTGGATAAACATATGGAGCAGAGGTCCATCAGTGGCTATTAGCCACAAGCTATAGATAGGAACTCTCATTCTGGGGCAAGTGATATTCTGTATTCTTGGTGCTTGGGGGGGGGGCAACAGTGGGAGGGCTTCTAGTGTCCTGGCCCCACTGCTGGACCTCCTGATGGCACTGGTATTTCTGGCCACTGTGTGATACAGAGTGTTGGACTGGATGGGCCTTTGGCCTGATCCAACATTGGTGTCTCTTATGTTCTTATGGGTCAAGTAGCAAGCAGATGATGTGAACAACCTCCACCCAAGACCCTGGAGAGCTGCCCCTGTCAGAGCAGACCAAACGGCCTGACCCCAGACCAGCCAGCTTTGTGTGTTAAGTGATTGCAACAAACTCTGAAGCACCAAAGTGACACTTCCCTGGGGGCAGAGGGAGAGGAGAGAAAGAAAGACAGAGTCATAAAACAAGACAGGCTTTTAATGATGATATTGCATAGCGTGATAAAAGACAAAGGAGGGGATATTCCTGGGGTACCGTATTCGTTAATCAACGTAACCCAAAGACCCAACAGAACACCATTTTTCATGTAATAAGTCCTACAAGTCCTTTCAGAAACCCAGTGAACGTCGATAAAGCAATCTCTTGGTTTGTAAAGGCAGATGGGTTAATGGAATTGACACATTTGTGACAACGGCTTTTGCAAAAAAAGGCAAATATATATATCTAGAGAACCCCAAAACATTCACATTGTTAAAGTGACTTCTCTAAGGCCACAAAGGGGATGCTAAAAGCCGGGGGGGGGGGGGGGGCCCTCAAAGGCAGATTTTATTCCAGAACATGAAAAGTGATTTGAGCAGAAAATACGCAGCACCGTTACAAAAATCACGGTTCTCAGGGAATCTCGGGAGAAGATGCAGTTAAAACTTGCTTTATGCCTGCGGTGTAAACGTGCCAAAGGGGGGGGGGGGTTGAGGACAAGGTCTGGAGCGCCTCTTCTTCCCAAAACAGCCTTTACGTTTTTGCCCATCCAACCATGTCTTCTAGCAACCCATTCCCACTTGTCTTGGGGTCAACTTCGTATACCAGGATTCTTATTGAGCAGGATTGCTCCCCAGGGTCACTCCTCAGAATGAAATACGACACCCGGGGAGACTGATATACATGTTCTTGCTTGTGACGTGTGTGCGTCCTTGCCAGAGAATCCACCAATGACTCTGGACACCTATTTCTGGCTTTGTGAATGGGCTGTTAAAAGAACGGCATTTTACTCCCGAGAGGAACCCTGGCCAGCATAAATCGTAACCGTCAAAGCAGCTCCAACTTCCCAATCGATGTCGGTGAACCATTTCCGGAGCCCAGGGATTGGTATGGCATCAGACGCCTGCGTTAACTAATTCACATGCAGCAGGCACAGAAACAGGGAAGCGATTCTGGATGGATCCATAGGACGATCATTTTGATCAGCAGTCATCCCTGACAATTTGACGGCATGATACACACTACCCCGGGTGGGGTAGGGGGGATAAGCGCACTCCACCGCGCTCGGCCGGTCATTTGAGCAGGTTTAGTTGTGTGAACAGGTCACGGCTTCTAATGAAGGAAATATTTCATTTTCATTTAAGATAGCACAAGGATCTCATCTTGGAAAGCGGGCCAAGACTCCACATCGTTCTGCTCGAGAAAGGACGATTCGAGAACGCTGCTCTTGCAAGAACGGTTCCTCTTGCAACGTACACATAGCAAGCTTATTTACAAAAAATCTCAGATATGACGGGATGCTTGTTATGAACTCACTCACAAGAGTAGTTCTGCCAAGTGGCTCCCCAAAGCAGAGATCATTTTGATTTGCGTGGGACCCAGGGAGAGAGGGGAAGAACAACTGAGTTAACAGGTCCCCTTTGGTCATCTTTGTCTACAAGTATTTTAGATCTCTCCTTTAGTCAATGCCCATACACCGCAGATCTGCTCCACTTACTGGATGTTTCAGCTGCAGCACCTTTCAATCAACCCTTCCCACGGAGTCCACATGATCGCATTGCGCATCTCCCCTCCCCCCCCCAATTTTGCATTGTTCTGGGTTAACAGCAATGGTGTGACCAAAACACAAAGAAACTGAATCAACATTGTTAAAGAAACGTTATTAACGTCACTGTAATCTATGGAAACTGCAGCCCCGTCCTGACGAAACCGACTGGACTTACCTCCAGAAGGTTTCTGGTAGGACGGCGGCACGGACAAGACAATTCGTTTGGACAAGACAATATCGTTTTGCACACCACGGGGTATTATGTACAGACACTGAGACATTTCAAATATATTAGTATATCTTTGTAGATCTGTGTTCAGAGTCCTGCAAAGCAATTCCACGTTCTTTTATGATTCTCTTTTCAGCAGTACGTACGCACCCATTACAGCCAGGAGAGCATACTGTGAAGAAAACGTAGGGATAATTACTGTATACATGATAATTACTATATATGTGTTATCTTATTTCATAGGGAATCTTCAAAACGGCACACTGAGGTGGATTCGACCTTCCTCCAGCGGAAGAGCCACTTACGTTGGGGGGAAGCTCCTTAGACTGGTGGAAGCCCTTCAAACTTCAGCCAAAAGAGAACTCAGGATATAAATACTTTAATACATAAATTACAAAATCAATAAACTTTGCACAGTGGTGTCTTTAGACAGGGCTAAGATCCACACCCACAGCTTCAAAACACATATCTCCCTTATAAATAAAAGCCGAATGGTGGTGGCACTTCTCTAGAACATTCCACATGCTCCAAAATCAGTTTGCTCTCTGATCTGTCATTCAGAGGGTCTCCCTATCCACTGGCTGCTTTGCCTGAGTCCTGCCTCCAACATTCTAAACATTTTGCTGTTCCTCTCCCCCCCATAGCCAGTCAGAACGCAGAGGTTATTTGCATATGCAGCCTCATTGGCCTTTGCCTCGGAACACAGAGGTCGTTTGCATATGCGACTTGATTGGCTTTTGCCTCTAACATTCTAAACAGTTTTCTGTTCTGAGGTAAAATGTGTCGTCAGGTGAGGGCTGGAGATCCCTCATAATTACAACTGCTTTCCAGATGGCAGAGATCAGTTCCCCTGGAGAAAATGGTGGGCTCTGTATCCTTATATGCTGCTGAGGTGGCCCCCACATGACAGCCAATGTGACGTAGCAGTCAGGGCTTAAGAGCACGGGAGAGGCTGCAGGTGTGTGGGGGGTGGAAAGCTGAAGAGTGAGGGGGAAATAAAGGTAGGTTGATGATTGGCTGGGAAGGAGATAGAGTTGCCAACTCCAGGTGGGAAATTCCTGGAGGTGAGGGATGGAGCCTGGAGAGGGTGAGGTATCAGGAGGCGTGGGACCTCGGACAGGTACAAAGCCATAGACTCCACCCTCCAAACCAACTATTCCCTTCTGGGGAACCATCGTTGCCAATCTCCAGGTGAGGGCTGGAGATCACTCAAAATTACAACTGTTCTTTAGATAGCAGAGATCAGTTCCTCTGGAGAAAATGGTGGACTCAGTGTCATTATACCCTGCTGAGGTCGCCACAGCAAATTGACACTGAGTGTCCAAGGCCGGGGCATCCGCCCAGAGCCTCTTTCTAGAGGCCGTTGTATTTATTTCCACAATGGGCCTTTTTCCTAGTTTTTCATAAATTAACGTTTTAACACCTAATTAAAGAAAGTGGAGCGCTGCCCAAAATCGCTAAACGCTATAATCCAATGGGGAGCTTCAGGGAGGGGCTGTGGCTCAGTGGTAGAGCCTCTGCTTGGCATGCAGAAGGCCCCAGGTTCAATCCCCTGTATCTCCAGTTAAAAAAGGACCAGGCAGTAGGTGATGTGAAAGACCTCTGCCTAAGAGGAGAGCCACTGACTTTGATGGACCAAGGGTCTGATCCAGCAGGAGGCAGTTTCATGTGACTCTTGAAAGACTATACCGCAAAAGTTTTTGGGTCTCTGAGGTGCTACTGGACTCAAATTTAGCTGTTCTGCTGAAGACCAACATGGCTTACTCTCAGTGGCAATCGGAAAGGACACTCAGCATAGATGATATTTTTACCCAGGGCAGCCTGAGAGCCAGTTTGGTGCAGGTTTGATTTCCCACTCCTCCGCTTGCAGCTGCTGGATGACCTTAGGCAAGCCAGAGTTCTGTCAAAGCTGTTCTCTCAAGGACAGCTCTGGAAAGAGCTCTCTCGTCCCCACCTACCTCACAGGGTGACTGTTGGGGGAGGGGGAGGGAAAGGAGACTGTAAACTGCTCTGAGACTCTGAGTGAAGGACAGGGTATAAATCCAATCTCTTCTTCTTCTTCTGTAACTGCAGGAACTCCATGCAAACATTCTGGGCTTTGGACCGGAGCACATGCTATTTATACATGCTTAAGAGATCTAACAGCTATTAAAATTGAAACTTCAGAGCACCAAAGAATACACACCATCGCTGCACAATTAACCGCCCGGGGGAAATTATACCCCCCCAGGTGTTCTTCTGCAGAACCAGGGGTATTTCTATGCTGCCAATGGCAACCTGGCTCTTTATTAAGGACTCTGTTGAGCAAAAACGAAGAACAAAACCTATCCTGATAGGCGATACATGGATAGTTTCCTCTGCGGCATTCTGCCGCACATAGCTTACTACTGCATTTCTGGAAGCCTGCCCTTGTGAAACCAGAGCAGAGAAATGTCTTATTTTTTTAGAACCTACCCTCCAAGAAATGTTTCCACCTGCCAAAGAACATCGACTTTGGGGCGGTTGTGTGCCGCAGGGGATTCTGGGGCAAAGTCCGTGATGGGATAGTCTAGCCTGCCAAGTCTAGCTCTCTATGAGCCAAGACTGCATTCTAGAATAAGTCCAACATTTATCCTGTAGTTGCACTCCATAGGGGATGTCTTTATGATAGTTTGTCTCCCACCACTGACCTTCTCACAGAGGAATTCCTGATGACCTTCTAGGGACCCCAAAGTTCAAAGGGGCACAGCTAGAAGCCACAGGCTCATTGTGAACAGTAAGATACAATGCAGCTGTTAATTCTAAGTTGCAAACATTTTTGGTATGGCGACCCACAAGCAATGCTCCCTCTAAGCTGGGGAGTCTTGTGAGCCAAAATTCTACTTCGTGAGCTGCTGGCATTAAAGTTGCGAGCCAGCGATTTGGCTCCTGCATAAATTAGTTTGCTCTGGAGCCATCCTTCCTGAGCTAGGACAAAAAATGTGTGAGCCGGAGGCTAAAAAACTGTGAGCTAGCTCACACTAACTCAGCTTAGAGGGAACACTGCCCACAAGTACAAATTTACATGGTGTCGTAACCAATGTTCCCTCTAAGCTGTAGAGTCCTGTGAGCAAAAATTCTACTTTGTGAGCTACTGGCATTAAAGTTGTGAGCAGGTGATTTGGCTACTGCATAAATTAGTGTGTTCTGGAGTCCTCCTTCCTGAGCTAGGACAAAAATGTGTGAGCCGGAGGCTAAAAAACTGTGAGCTGGCTCACACTAACTCAGCTTAGAGGGAACACTGGTCGTAACCCATCCAGAGCGGACCCAAGGTCTTTTGGCACCCCAGGCAAACTATGACCTCAGCGCCCATCCGTTTTCCACAGTGGCTAACCAGACGTTTTTAGAAACCAACAACCATCGTAGAAGGAGAGAAGAGACTGGATTTACACCTCGCCCTTCACTCGAAGTCTCAGAGCAGTTTACAGTCTCTTTCCCTCCCCCTCCCCACAACAGACACCCTGTGAGGTCGGTGGGGCTGAGAGAGCTCTTGACAGAAACTGCTCTTCAGAGAACAGCTCCGACAGAACTCGTGACTGACCCAAGGTCACACCAGCAGCTGCATGTGGAGGAGTGGGGAACCAAACCCAGTTCTCCCAGATCAGAGTCCGCACTCCTAATCTTTACACCAAACTGGCCCTACAAAGGGTGCAGCTGACTCCACTATGAATCCCAAGCAAGTGGCCTTCTGACATACACAGCTTTTGCATGTGGAGGCTACATTCCAGCCTTTGACCCCCTTCTCCTTCCCCAGGATTCCCTCTAATCCCCCTCCCAAGATTCTCACTCACTTGAGTAACCACCAGGACATGTTTCACTTGAGGAACATGTGTATGCAGTGAAGAGAAAAAAAATCAACTCATGTATGATGTGGAAGATCCTGTTACCACGGTCAGATCTGGGCTTCCAAAACACAAAAGACAGCAGTGGAAAGGGCGGCGGTGGCGGTGGTGGTGGGGATAAGGGAGGGCTGGCCCATGACCCACTTTCAGAGGCTTTGCGATCCACTTTTGGGTCCTGACCCACAGGCTGGGAAACACTGGACTAAGTTACTTAACTCTCACTGAAGTAGTGTTACTGAAACAGGGAAGCAGTGCAGGTCCATTAAAACAAACGGATGTTGTCCCATTGACTCCAGGGTAGGTACACAGTACCCTAAATGTGTACAAAGTTATCTCTCCAGTCGCGAGTAAGTCTCACAGCCGGGGTGGGAGAAATCTTTTGCGCAGCCTGAGATGTGGTTTGTTAAGTGTTGGAATATGCAAGGTCTATAGTGCAAGCCTTATCGAGAAGATCTGAAGAGCACCCTACATTAGGATGGCTGAAGCACAGCAAGATTAGGGATTGCTATTGTGTCCTTGCTGTCTCCTGATTGGCTCTTCTGGAGCCTTCCTGCTCCTGCAGAGCTTCCTGAAGTTCGATGTTCCTCTTTCAGCAGTCAGGTTACACAGTTAAGGTTTTCTCTCTTCTATGTTCTAGAACAGTTTATTCTTTAATAAATCTACTTGTTTTTCTCTAAGCAGTCAGCGCTCCACTTCCTTTGCATATTTAAACTCTGCCAACATTTAGAATTCCCCAACAATTAAGCTTTCAATTTCTTTTAAGAAAAACGGACGTTTGAACCAGTCGCCTTGTCTGCAGATGCAAACTGCCAATAGGGTCGTTATTCTCAATCAAGGTTCCTCTTGCCCAGTTGAGATGCAACGAAATGGATGCAACACTTGCATAAAACAAACATTCCCTTGAATACCGGCTGACCAAGAAATTACTGGGATTTTGTGCACTGAGTGCAATCTGCCAGGGACTTCTATGGCACAAGCACCATTGACGTTATCATGGGCTGCTGTAAAGCTGTCATGACCTTGCACTTCCCATTCATTTCCATGACACGAAGGCCAATGGACTGAACTCATTCTGTACTGACTAAAATTGTCTTATCTTGGAACCTGGAGCTGCCTCCTACGAGAATTTACTGAAATTACTAATTAAATTTGCAGATGACACCAAACTGGGAGTACGAGTAAACAGCCCGGAAGACAGAGATAGAATTCAACAAGACCTGAACACACTGGAAAAGTGGGCGGATGTGAACAAGATGCCATTCGAGAAGGAGAAATGCAGAGTTTTACATCTGGGTATCAAAAATGAGAAGCACGCTTACTGGATGGGGGCACCCTTCTGGGTGGCAGGGTGTGTGAACAAGATATCGGGGTATGGATGGACTGTAAGCTAAATACGAGCAGTCAGTGTGATGCGGTGGCAAAAAAGGCTAATGCGTTCTTGGGGTGTATTGACAGAGGCATAACATCTTAAGGCCACATCTGGAGTACTGTGTGCAGTTTGGGAGGCCTCACTTCAAAAAGGATGCGGGCAGAAGGGAGTGGGTGAAGAGGAGAGCGACGAGGATGATCGGGGGCCTGGAGACCAAGCCCTATGAGGAAAGGCTGAGGGACCTGGGAGTGTTCAGTCTGGAGAAGAAGAGGCTGAAGGGGGACAGGATTGCTCTCTTGAAGTATTTGAAGGGCTGTCACTTAGAGGAGGGCAGGGAGCTGTTCCTGTTGGCAGCAGAGGAGAGGACTCGCAAGAATGGGTTTAAATTACAGGTGGAACAATACTGGCTGGATATTAGGACCTTTTTACCCCCAGCTGCGGTGGCTCAAGTGGTTAAGACACTGAACTGCAGGCTGTGGAAGGTCAGTAGTTCAGCAGTTCAAGACCCGAGTGTGCCGCGTGACGGAGTGAGCTCCCGTCTCTAGTTCCAGCTCCCGCCAACCTAGCAGTTCGAAAGCAAGAAATTGCAAGTAGATAAATAGGTACCACTTTGGTGGGAAGGTAACAGCGTTCCGTGCGCCTTGGCGTTTAGTCATGCCGGCCACATGACCACGGAAACGTCTTCGGACAGCGCTGGCTCTTTGGCTTGGAAACGGAGATGAGCATCGCAACCCTAGAGTCGGACTCAACTGGCTTTCGAGCAAGGGAACCTTTACCTTTACCCTTACCCCCAGTAAGAGTAATTCAGTAGTTCAGTCAGCTGCCTGGGGAGGTGGTGAGCTCCCCCTCCCTGGCAGTCTTTAAGCAGCGGCTGGACAAACACTCGTCGGGGATGCTTTAGGCTGATCCTGCATTGAGCAGGGGGCTGGACTAGATGGCCTGTAGGACCCTTCCAACTCTGAATCTAAATGGTAGAAGTTAACCAATGTGTTGACTCTTATCATGGACAATCTCTACTCCAATCTCTGTCTTTTCAAAGCATGGAGATAAGAGCTCATTCTGCAGTGAACCACATTTTTGTGGAACCGAATGTGGTCAGATGGCCAGCAAGGAAACAATTTTGCTGAAGCCAAGCAGGGTTGGGTGTGGTCAGGGGGCCTACATACGTCCCCTTGAATCGTCTGGAAAAATGAGATGTTGCGTGTCCAAATGAATGAAATGACATCTCTCCTTACCTTGAATTTTGGGTAGTCGTTCATGATTATGGTAACCATTCCAACGTAAGGCAAAAACCTGAATGAAAGAAGTTAAGACCATGAGCCAGCTTAAAGTAGTGCTTATACCAGAAATCCAGATCAGCACCAATGGGAAATTCCCAAGGCGCTTTTGTATGGCTCCCATTTTTATTTTTATTTTGCTAAAATACAAAGTATCATTTGGGAAAAAAAATCAGCTGTCTCATGGCTACGGAGTTTGAGAAACTGAAGGTTGAAATGGCTAAAATGAAGGAACAAAACCAATGCTAGGCAGCTACATTAGGAAGGCCAAGCAGAGAAGCCTTCACACACCCAGCTGAAAATGCAGGATTTGATTTTGAGCGAAATATACCTGTATAAGAATTATAATAATTATTAGCAGCTTCATTTATAGTCCGCCTTTCTCAATGGGACTCAAAGCGGATTACAAACAGGAGAACTATTCAAGAACAACATAATTTATACAGCGACTACATAAACCATGATGCAATCCAACTCTGAGCAAAGTACAGATGTTCAAAAAAAACATCTGGGTGCTACCACTAAAGCAAGACATTGTATGGCAACATGAGTAAGCCTAGCCAAAGTTCTTGTAGAATGGCTCTTCCAAGGAGAGCTGTGATTCTGGCAGGGGAAATCAAGTAGGAAAGCAGAAATCCTCACAAGGGTCTCTCATATCCCCCAGAAGGTTGGAACAGAACCAACGGGTTGAAATTAAATCAAAAGAGTTTTCGGCTAAACATCAGGAAGAACTTCCTGACAGAGTGGTTCCTCGGTGAAACGCGCTCCCTCAGGAGGTGGTGGGCTCTCCTTTGGAAGTTTTTAGCGTAGGCTAGATGGCCATCTGACTGCAATGCTGATTCTATGACTCAGTATGAGTTTAGGCAGATTGTGAGAGGGTGTTTCTACATCCCTACTTAAAAATTACACGTTTCGTCCTTCATCACAGAGACAGCAAAGCACAGACAGGTGTATCTCTTACCCTCGTGCTCTTCCTACCACGTCCTTCTTTTCGAGCCAGTTCTGGCCTTCTTTGTACAAACCTCTATCATCGACTTCGTTGTTATCACCCTTGGTCAGAAATTTGATGTTGCCGTTTTCTCTGCAAGCCAACAGGATGGCAAATTCATTAGCACCTCCATTGAAAGTCACACACCCAGTGTTTGCAAAACACAAATTAAAAGATTAGATACCGACATGTACAAGCTGCCCTTCTTGAGTTTTAATAAATATCGAGGCATTCACTGGATGACCTTTAATGACAGATTTTTAGAAAACCCGGTTTATTTCTTCCGTATCCTGTTGTTAATGTACTGCGGTCAAAACAGAAGATACCTGTCCTATGAAGAGGAATTATCTTGCTTCTAGACCAGGCAAAGAGGCCCTGGTACACCATTATAAAGAAGAAGCTACTTAATAACAGAATCTCAGCTGTTAAGGGACGTTATTCCAATTTAAGGAGTTCTGGATGCAGTAGAAAGCAGACCAGACAGGCCCAGAGTTTAAAACTAGACACTAATTCTTTGAGCAAGATACGGAAGTTGAGACAGGACCAGGAGCTATCAGCAAGCCCAACTGCAGCAGAAATATGCCCAAGGAACCAACAGTACTAGAGATGTAAAATTTCCGGAAATTTTGAAGCTCGAAAAAAAGCCGTTTCACCCCCAGTTTTTTTTGGGGAGGGAATGGAAATTTTCAGAAAAATGGAAAAAAATGCTACATTAAAATTTCTTTTGTCTTTTCTAGATTGAAAGTCATTCTGTTACTTTAGGAACATAAAATATGACTATGGACATTTTTACTTGGCATGAAATTATCACAACTAGCATATTAAAAATATAGTTATTACAAACAGAATACACACCCACATGCAAAAACAAAACTGAAACCTTTTTATTTTCTTCTGACAATTATATAAATAAAAGAAATGATTTGAAAAATATTTGAACCCCTTGTCTTAAAATATTTTATTCATCATGTTAAAATAAAACGTTCCATCATCAATTTTTTTTCTTTTCTTTTTTTCAATTTTTCGGAAAAAAACAAAAAAGGCTTCAGGAAAAAAACTGAAAAAAAACCCGGTTTTTTTCCGAATTTTTCCAGGTTTTTTCCGTGCCTTCACATCTCTAAACAGTACTAGGCTTTGTGTGTAAACACCACATGGGGAGGGGGCTGTGGCTCAGAGGCTTGGCATGCCTCTGCTTGGCATGCAGGAGGTCCCAGGCTCAGTCCCCGGCATCTCCAGTTAAAAGGACCAGGTAGTAGGTGATATAAAAGACCTCTGCTTGAGACCCTGGAGAGCCACTGCCAGTCTGAGTAGACGATACTGACTGTGATGGACTGATGGTTGCCCTTAGTGGAGCGAAGGCTGCTGCAGCGTGACTAATCCCCAATGGCACTGGGTGACAATGGAAGTCAAAAGAGTCTTGCGGGTCTCCTTCCTGTGCCAGTGCTGACCCAGCCCCCCGGAAGAGGGCAGCAGGCAATGGCAGAAGAAAGGTGCTATGCCACAGACTCCATCCTTGCCCTCTCAGAATACTAATGTTACCTAGCACTGGCTGGAAGAAGTCGCATGACAACGACTTCCACTGTGCGAAAGGCAACACAGGTGATGTTGATTTACTCCTTAAAGGCCCATAAAGATTGAAAAGCATCAGCAACATGGAATAAAGGGGGAAATCTAATGGTTTTGCCGCATTCTTATTTTCCTCGGTTGTGTGTTCCTGTTGCTCCGGGGGTGGTTTCCGTTTAGCATGCACTATGCTCCCTCTAGTGGTCGATTCAATATTACATCTCCTTATGTCCCGCATCACTCTGCAGATTTAAAAAGCAGGTTTTTATGTCGGACACAGAGTGGCGTAATATCAAATCAACCACTAGAGGGAGCAAAACACGTGCGGGACAGGAAAAAACTCCAAAGCACAGAACACACCAGTGAGGGAAGAGTATGCAGAAAAGCCCTAAGTTCTCCAGTTCAGAGCCCCTACCTTCCAGGTACCGTACCAACTGCTACCTTACTTCCGATTCTAACGTTCCACAGACAAAATCCAGTTCCATTTGACACAAACCATCTTATTTCTCTTAGTGCTACAATCCATAATTTTTCATACCAATCATGACTGAAGGGGGGGGGGAGGGGTTGAATGTTGATTTTAATTCTTGTCACAAGGTACTACTAATCCCAGTTTTCCGTCAAGAGCATGCCTCCAGTTCTTCTTTCAATGCAAGATACGCATTCCTTCTAAAATTCTACAGCTATGGGACCAAGCAATATTTCCCACAGTGCCAAAATGCTTAATTTGAGTGTGCACCACATTACTTTTCGTGAACCTTGATTACTCTGTGTACAATCGGGATGTCTCTGCCTTCCACTTTAAAAACGACAATTTCTCCGGCTCTGATGGGGTCGTCTCGGAAGTTTGTCAAGAATAAGAGGTCTCCCCTGTGAAAGGCAGGTTCCATGCTGCCGCTGTAATGAAACAAGGCATGAACTGGATTATATAATCTGCACGATGGGGCAGGAATCCCCCCCCCTCCCCCAGTGTACTTAAAATGCCTACAAATAAAGAACTTTGCCTGCTATCAATACAGCAGAAGAATAAATAAGTTATGAGAGACTGAAGTGGGAAGCAAGGCAGCATGTTATAGTCCAGTTTTATCGGATCCTGGAAGCTAAACAGGGTTGGTACTTGGAGGAGAGACCACCAAAAAAGGTTCTGCAGAGGAAGGCGATGGCAAAGTACCTCTAGTTCTCACTTGCCTCGAAATCCCCTTGCTGGGACTGCCATAAATCAGCTGCAGCGTGACTACATACTGCACTGAACTGACTCTGATCTCATGGGACTCTAAGTGTCCTCAAGAATGGGGAAGTGGCTAATTAAAAGCTTGACCATTACAGCCTGTCATGATCCTGGGCCTAGGGTTGCCAGCCTCCAGGTGGGGCCTGGGGATCTCCCGCTTTTACAGCTGATCTCCAGCTGACAGAGAGCAGCTCCCCTGGAGAAAATGGCTGCTTTGGAAGGTGGACTCTATGGCAATGCACCGTGCTGAGGCCCCTCAGGGCCTGTGAGGCTGCTGCAGAAAGAGGGATCCCTCATCCAAAAGGGGTGAGTCAGTCTGAGACCAGGTACATAGGGAAGGCTAGGACCGTATCATCAGACGTGTTAGGATTTTATTGTTTTACTGATTTACCGAACTTTACTGCGCTAATTTTTGCTACATGTTTTGAACTATAGTTGTTATTAAATCTCTTTAATAAAACTAGTTTGTTACTCTGCCTGGGTCCTGATGCCTCATTTGGTCACGTATAAAGGGAAACCTACGGGAAAGGTACTGCGCAAAAGGGGTAGGGGTGATTGCTCCGGGGCCCTCCCGAGGAGACCCATACCAGAGTGGTGGCAGCCAGTGTGTCCCCAGAATGGTGGCAGCCAGTGTGTCCCCAGAATGGTGGCAGCCAGTGTGAGCTAGCTTACAGTTTTTTAGCCTCCGGCTCACACCATTTTGTCTCCCCTCAGGAAGGAGGGCTCCAGAGCAAACTAATTGATGCAGTACCCAAATCACTTGCTCACAACTTTAATGCCAGCAGCTCACAACGTAGAATTTTTGCTCACAAGATTCCACATCTTAGAGGGAGCATTGGTTGGCAGCCAGTAGAGAACCTGTCTAGCCGCTGCCCGCAACACAGCCCCATATCCTATTCATGCCACCTCAATCATTGTGAGTGGGGCTGATCACTGCGAGCAAAGAAAACTATGTCAAACTGGCCACAGCCACAGAAGATCCTTCTGTCTTCTCACCCCCTGTGAGTTCTTTCTATTGCTTCTGGATAGGGAGTGGGGCAAACTTTACCAAGGGCCAGATGTGCAGAATTTCTTCACAGACGTACCTCAGGACGACGACGATGGGGCTCTCGCTTCCGGTGATAACGATGAGGCCTTTCCAGATCATGAGAGCCGAGGACACGATCATGGCAAAATTTAAGACTTGATAGTAGAGCTGGAAGAAAGTGAGAATGCTGTGGTGAGCGCAGTCAGCGGATTAAGAATAAAACGCAGGCTTCCCGCACTCAGAAGCCCAGGGGAACAATTTTCTGAAGTTAAAGGTAAAGGTTCCCTTGCTCAAAAGCCAGTCGAATCCGACTCTAGGGTTGCGGTGCTCATCTCCGTTTCAAAGCCGAAGAGCCAGCGCTGTCCGAAGACATTTCTGTGGCCATGTGGCCAGCATGACTAAACACCAAGGTGCACAGAACGCTGTTACCTTCCCACTGAAGTGGTACCTATTTTTCTACTTGCAATTTCTTGCTTTCGAACTGCTAGGTTGGCAGGAGCTGGGGCCAGAGATGGGAGCTCAGTCCGTCATGCGGCATACTCGGGTCTCGAACTGCTGAACTACCGACCTTCCACAGCCTGCAGTTCAGCGTCTTAACCACTTGAGCCACCGCAGCTCCTTTTTCTGAAGTTACATCCTGAATAATCTAAAAATATTTCTCTCCCCTCATCCCCAAAGTATCACACCGACATTTGCTCTGAGTGGGGCCATGCAGCCCGCGCAACGGAAAACGAACTACTTTGGAGAACCATTTGGGGACGTATAAGTGAGGGGGGGCACCTGGATAGGGGAACCCCCTGTAACTGCTGAGCTCAGGTACCCCCTACTTCACATGTGCAACCCTCCTGCAAGTCACTAACCCACATCTATATCTAATATAACTTCAACTGAATAAGAGGGGGGGAAAGATGCATATGGAGAGAACTAATTTTCTCCTTTAAATGGATGTTATTGTCTGGTCTGGGGAGAACCAAGCTACGCAGACTCAAATTACTCATTTTCGGCAGGAAGGACACCTGAACGGCCCCCTGAATTTGGAGGTGTAAATATTTGAGAAGCTTCCTATTCTAAAGCTTCTTTCCCCCCAGCACCGTGAATCTTCCCAGGGTGCCGTATCTTTATAATGAGGGAAGCAGCGGGACGGAGATTCACAAAGCGGGGCAATCAACGCTGGGCTGGATCGTCAAGAAGCCGGGAACGCTGGTCAGACCACCGTCGGAGAGGAACAAGGCGGCACAGCAGGCAGGAAAAGTAGGGCATTCAGCGCCACAGCCTGCAAAGGGTGACTGTGCATCGCCCCAAACTTAAGGCTGCCCCAGTTTTCATACCTTCTTACAAAAAAGAAAAGGTACACAGAGTCCTTTGGGTTTCATAACAATCCCTACGTAGTCTGGCTAGGTGCAAGACTGAAATTGTGAACCAGAGAACAGGTCAACAACGCCCGTACATGCAAGCGTCTCTTGGTATCACACGTTTGCAGTTCTTCGTGGGGCTACGGCTCAGTGGTAGAGCACCTGCTCGGCATGCAGAAGGTTCCAGGTTCAGCCCCCGGCATCTCCAGTTTAAAAGGACCAGGCAGTAGCTGATGCAAAAGATCTATCACAGGATATTGAAATTAATAAAGGAACGAGACAAGGTTGTCCCCTTTCACCACTGTTGTTTATTTTTGTACTTGAAGTTCTAAATCATGTAATCAGAAAGGACCAACAAATTTGAGGCCTTAAGTGAAGAAGAAGAAGAGGAAGAGGAGGCGGAGATTGGTTTTATACCCCGCCCTTCACTACTCAAGGGAGTCTCAGAGCGGCTTACAATCTCCTTTCCCTTCCCCTCCGCACAACAGACACCCTGTGAGGTAGGTGGGGCTGAGAGAGCTCTGACAGAAACTGCTCTTTTTCAAGGACAGCTCTTGTCAGAACTACGGCTTGCCCAAGGTCATCCAGCAGGTGCAAGTGGAGGAGTGGGGAATCAAACCTGGTTCTCCCAGATTAGAGTCTGCGCACTTAACCACTACACCAAACTGGCTCTAAGAGGAGAAAAGTATAAGCTTTTAGCATTTGCAGATGACTTAGTGTTTATTCCAGAGAATCCTGTGAATGCGTGAGCCTGTTCCAGTGATCCAGTGGGAATGGAAGATCTAAGGTGTCGTGTTTGTCCTGTGATGGGACCATGCACAAGTGGCAGACATCCCGATGTGAACTAGGCCCTTTGAGCTAACTGATGGAGCAATCCTATGCAAAGTCACTGGAGTCATTCTGCATCGGATGGCACTGTCCAATAAGTAGACTGTGGGTTTTGTCAATGGAGCCACACAGATCTCAGCATGCAGCACAGTGGTTATGGACCTGCTCCAGCCAATGTGCAGATCATTCTACATCTGCTCTGTGTGTGTGTGTGTGTGTGTGTGTGTAAAGTGCACTCAAATCGCAGCTGACTTATGGCAAACCCATAGGGCAGTGATGGCGAACCTTTTAGAGACCGAGTGCCCAAACTGCGACCCAAAACCCACTTATTCATCGCAAAGTGCCAACACAGCAATTTAACCTGAATACGGAGGTTTTACTTTAGAAAAAACAACTCATACATTAACTTAAGATAATCCAAACAAAGTAAGGAAAGCAATCCCAAATGCTTTCATTTGCTTAAAATTATTTGGCAGAGAATTCCACACTTTAATGACGGTCTGGGCCTGGCTGGGGCGATGGCACGCGTGCCCACAGAGAGGGCTCTGAGTGCCACCTCTGGCACCCGTGCCATAGGTTCGCCACCACTGCCATTGGGTTTTCAAGGCAAGAGGCGTTCAGAGGTGCTTTGCCATTGCCTGCGTCTACGTAGCAAGCCCGGACTTCCTTGGCGGTCTCCCATCCAAGTTCTAACCAGGGCCAACCCTGCTTAGCTTCTGAGATCTGAAGAGATCGGGCTAGCCTGCACCACCCAGGTCAGGGCTATGCTATACATCTGCTACGCTCTACCACAAAACAAGGGGAAAGTAAGATGGGTGATGGGAAGGCAAATTCAGGTGGGGCAGCCATGTTGGTCTGAAGCAGCAGAGCAAAGTTGGAGTCCAGCGGCACCTTTAGGACCACCAGAGTTTGAGGTATAAGCCAGGGGTGGCCAAACTGTGACTTGGGAGCCACATGCAGCTCTTTCATGCATATGGTGCGGCTCCCGGCAGGGCAGCTGGGGAAGCGAAGGGGAGGCGTGCTTTTCCTTCCTTCCTTCCTTCCCCTCTCCCCATCTATTTGCCTTCCTTCCTTCCTTCCTCCCTCCCTTCCTCTCTCCCCATCTATTTGCCTTCCTTCCTTCCTTCCTCTCTCCCCATCTATTTGCCTCCCTTCCTTCCTTCCTTCCTTCTCGCCTCTCTCCCCATCTATTTGCCTGCCTGCCTGCCTGCCTGCCTGCCTGCCTGCCTTCCTGCCTGCCTGCCTTCC